ATAGTCTTAGGTTTTTTTGCAGTTTCCTTTTGCTGCATATTTTTAGTTTGACCACGTTTTGCAATTTATAATGATTTGTAGATATTGTGGAACTTATCTACTCCTGTGTCCTTCTCTATGGTATTAATGTCAATTTTAGTAGTAGTCTGAAATTGTTTTCGAAGCTTGGTCGTGTTGTAAAGGTGACTTAGTTGTACGCACCTTGCCCGGAGTCCTCTGCTATAGTAGCTATGATAATTCTCAACGTTGGACCGTGGACTTGGTACATTTCCAGACCTTTCGCTGGCGACGTCTGCATTGCTATTGAGTATTGTTAATCTTAGGGCCATGCTACAACTTGTATAAAAGGCAGGTGAAGTCAATCCCACGACAAACTTTCTGTCAAACAGTTGTGTTATCCTTCCTCTTTCCGTCCTGGCACATCCACTTACTCCTTATTTTCTTATCTCACTCCCTATCATAACTTCCGACTTGTTTATATTGGATTTCTTTAGAGATGTGACCTTTTTGACTAGTTTTGTAGAGCGTTTATATACTTGTTTGCCTTATCCCCCTCTATCTTAATTTCCCGGAATTGCGGAACCGACTTAGGCCTCCTATCTTAATCTTCCACGTGGCCCCTGAGTTTCAATTCTTATCTTACTGGTTGACTGAGTTTTCCGTCACGGTATATGCTTTACTCAAGCCGCTATTTCTCATGGTCTGCCACAAGCCTTTTTTGCCCTCACCCAGCAGAGTGCCTAGGCTCTTATTCCTATGCTTGCAAACATCAGGTATTGTTTCCATGATTCATCTTTGTGATTCAAGCCCTGTACCCTGAGCAAACTATGGAAGCCTATCTTTAGTCTCCTGCTGCATCTTGTGGGGATTTTTAGTTCATTTTGCCCTGAATATCTGTGATTTGTGAATATCCGTCTCCCTATTCCACTGAACCCCAGCCTACCAAAGTTGTAGTTATTTCTTTAAGCATACTACACTCACTAAAAGCGTCTTCTTTTGATTTTCGAATATTTTTTGTTTGTTTTTGCCTTATCCTTGTTTTCTTCGAGTTTGCTTAAGCCATAAGACTTGTCACAAGTACTACAGCAGAGGACTTCAGATAAGGTGCGTCCAACTAGGTCTCCCTGACAACGTAACCAAGTTGCAAAAACGAATTCAGGGCCCTTCCATACATCGAAAATAGGCTGCGACGAAAACGTCAGTCACAACATCTTGGCCCTCATATCTCCTATTATATCCTTTTGACCTGACCTCATTTCCAGTCGATTTATTATAACTAAAATGAATAAGCATTTAAAAATTGCTGCACAAATTTCCTCGTTAGAAAAAAACAATTTATATGCATTAACTCATACTTAGAGCTGCAGAATATCTTTTAATTTATAACCTTTGAAAAAACCTATTTCACTAGCGTTCTCAAGGCTTCCTAGCGACCTTCTTTGTCATAGCCTTGGCAGATAGGTTTCCTATGCAGATCTAAGGCAGTATATTGGGGTCCGATTTATGTAGAAAATCGTGGTTTACCAAATTTCAAGAGCCTGGCTGCTTTTATACACCAATATAAATGATACATCTGTTTCGTCATAAGAATATTTAACAAAATCCTCAGCTTAAAAACACGTCCCAACGTTTTGTTTTTTTGCTTTCAAAATTTTTTATTGCTGTTGTTAACTTGCCAAAGTGCATTGATTTTTTTCTTTTAGCTATATTTTTTCACGTCTTGTGTCATGTGGAGCATTAATTCACTATTTTACTTGATATATTTTTCACTTTTTTCATTTGATATAGTTTGTTTTGGTACTTTCAGTTATTTGGTAATTAAACTTAAACTTAAGTGCATGTTTGCATTATTCATCTACACAGCTCACCTTAACTCTATTCTTCTGATCATAAATACGCAGGTCCATTCAGCACATTTACACAAACCTCCATGTTTTCGCAAGATTGCTAGCAGCACTTCAAAGACTTCTTCGCGTGGGACGGACAGCATTGTAGACTGCCATTCTCCCAAAAATCCAACATGTCGACAATTATTGAACTCATCTCCCTTTATGTTTGGTCAGCGTTATGGGGCTGGTGACCATCATCGACGCGATAAAGGATACTTAATATGCGATTCCCTTGATTTGGATGGCCACCATCACCAACGCAGGAATTCCAAAGATTCAGCTTTCTGGTGTTGGCGCCGATCGCATCCTTGCTCTTGTCACCGGCCAGTTCGAAGCTACTGTAGACACTGCGGATGTGCTCACTACTGTGGTTGTGGTGATGACAACACTAATTGTGACAAATGCAAATTTGCTCGCCCCAGCCTTCCAGAAGGAACTTCAGAGCCTCCTAGTAACAACTCGTCCATAGATATAATTCAATCCTATTGTCCCTTTAGTTATTGCCATATTCAGCCAAAAGTCGAGGCTCGCTTCACTAGACTACGTGAAATTCACGGTCGTTGCACTGGCACTCTCTTGTATCACTCGGGTCGCCCCCTGTCTAGTGGAGCCAATGCTTGTTGTCCTCATTCATCACAATGTCGCATCGTTCGGGAGGCACCAGAAGTAATGCATTCTGAGCCGGATACTAATGGGTTAAGGAGGGCTTTGTCACCTAATTGTTCCCTTCCTTTGTGTAAATCGGTCGCCCTTACGACTACTGGTCATCAATTACCTCCCGAGCCGAATTCTATCATCCCACCTGCTGGCAGCCCTATCAAAACCTTGACTCCTGAGGATACTAGGTCTCATGCCGGCAACGTCCCATGCATTGGGGGCATAGTAAAAGGTAAATCCGGTGACAGCAACTATCATGTGGATCTTAATGCTTTACAACCTTGTGAAATAGGAGATGGAATGAAAGACACTTGCTCTTCCAAGGTCGATTTTTCCAGGCTTTCGGAGATAGCTAGCCAAGAAAATGAGCCTGCAATGGATTTGTCTATCCCCTTTATGCCTGAATGTAAGTGGTTATCTCTGTAGCTCTGATTTTGTTTCTAATACCATTTCATTTCTTAACATCTTATTGTTTTGGGGTTGTTATGACATACTACTTTTTACTTCGTATTCAGTGTAGCACAGTCATTCCTCTGGAATAATTTTGTTCAAGTTACGGATCACTTTGTTTGGTCTTGTATATTTTGTGGTAAAATAATTTCGTTTGTTAT